TCCACTGGAATGCTTGGAATATCGTGGAAACTTGTGGAGACCCGCCTACCGTCTTGTTGTTCGACGGAAAAGGAATTTAATCACTTAATTCCTGCGCACAAATATCAAAAGATATTGAATATTGGATGAAACATGTAGACGGCTAAGCGTTGTGTGCTCGGTACCCGAAGGACTTTCAACGTGGTAGAGCCATGCTGCAGCTATATTAGTAGTGTAGTTGTAGCACGAATGGGTCGGCTCGACCGGGGAAGGACCACGCTCTCACAGAATACTAGCGTAAAATAGCAGCTTAACACTGCTGTGTTTCGTATGGTGAGTGTAGAGAACCGGAGACTCTTTTTACTGGAAAAGAGGCATTTCAACTTAGTCCTCACGGGTGACAACGCATCTGCATTTTGATTCGCAAACGAGGATAAATTTAAGTGTCTATGGGCCACAGCAATCACTTACCATCAGGTGGACTGTGTGCTCGTTTGTCACCCTATTCCTATAAAAAAAGACGCTAAAACAGAGCATCTCCTCTATCGGACTTTAAGAATGAGGGAATAGAGAGTGAACCAATACTTGCGCATGCACTCGGGCACTATAATCTTGTCCTGCGTATATGGCTAGTCTTTGTTTCATTATTATCCACACACGTACATAATTATTAGATATAACAAAGCAGTCGTCTTATTTCACAAGCCAACTGCTCCATTTACCTAGTTGTCACTCCATCTAGCTTTTCGTCAGCGCCTGTTTTACAACCACAAGTTAAAATACAATGATTGCCCACAAAATACTACTATTACAGGAGTCACAGGTAGGGTAATAATACGCTTGATTACTTTTTGTTTGCTTTACTAGTTCACAACTCGAATAATCATTCAATAATAATTACAATCCTTTTTATAATATCGCACAATGGTGGCAGCTTATCCCTACTACCTATCACAACTGAACTTAGCAACAGTTTGAATGTGTAAGAATTATGCAATCCAAATACTTTTATAATATGTAAATAAGTTGAACACTGTTATAAATATTACTGATAAGTGAATTAATTACGAATGTTTAGAAGATGAAATTACTTTTATAACATTCTTAGTAAATATCTCAAATTCTAAATTAGAAATAAACAGAAAATTATCAATGATAATAATTATTATGACAATACAGTGACTTTTAATCTATTTTATATTTGATAATTAAAAAATAATATTATAAAACAAAAACGATAAATATACAATTATTGTTTATAACTATTCATGATAGAAATTATGTAACAATAACTGATAACATTACTTTAAATCATTCCAAAAAAAGTATGATAGTGGAATATTGTTCTTCATCACCTATCACGGCCGATAAAATCCACTGCTGAACATAGGCCTCCCCCTTCGATTGATTGCCGAACAGAGCATCTCATCCAATCCAAAATTTGTAGAGAATGTTATACAACATATTTTTTTAAGTTACTCCCACACTAGGGTTTACTCCTGTGTCGTGGAGGCAAATTACATACTGTTGGGAATGAGCGTAAAAATATAAAAGTAAATACGAACAAATGAAGGTAGAATGATAATCTCCCACTTGTTTTAGCAGTATAAAGTATCGCACAGGCGACTAAGAGGCATCAGTCGGTAATTCTAAGGGTCTCACTGTCGTTACTATGCCTCTTGGGGTATTCTACTAGTGTAGGCAAGGACGGTCGTGTTGCTGAGAGGCGGCTGCCCTGTGTTACATTGATATGGGTAGTGATGCTGTTGGTTTGCATACTTTGGTGTTATCATGTAATTGAGGTCCTGATAGTAAGCAGGATTTGTTACCGAGTCGTGTTCTTTTATTTAAATATTTTTGACGATAATTTCTAACATCACAAGTGGAATAGTTTCTTATCGATACTAATATAATAAAGCGGAAGAGCTTTTTTGTTTTTTTGTTTGTTTAAACGCGCTAATCTCTGGAAGTACCAGTCCGATTTGAAAAATTCGTATATTATAGCCATATTCATGTGGAATAGTATAGGCTATCTAGCATTAAGCTATATTACTCAGCTAGCCTTAAATATGGATATTTGTTAAGCAAGTAAGAAGAAAAAGCACTCCCGAAATGATTTATCCGCATACGCTGGTGTTATCGTTAGGGATACGTAAATACAATGTTCTAGAAAAATATAGACCTTTACTCCGTCTAAAAAAAGTCCGCGATACCATATGTCTATTTCTTATACATAAGCCATAATTTGGCATTTTGTGACAAAAAAATATTGAAAATTTAAAAGTGATTTATGAGCGTTATTATTAGGCATGGCCTATTTATCCTTACAAACGAAAGTTACTTCATAATCAAGACAATTTTATGAAGATAAACTTTGTTCTTTATACCATGTTATTTGGACGCATAGTTTAAGAAATAATGTAAAATTAAAATAATTCAATACTTGGCTGGGCGCGCGAACGACGCTTAAACTCTAGCCGTTATAAAATGCTTGAACTAGGTCAAGTCGCGCAACTCGGACACGTGATGACGCGGGTGAAACCGCGGGGCACAGCTAGTAATAAATAAATTGCACATTTAGTAGACTAGGTATAACCGGGGAGGTACCACAACCCCACAGGATACCAACGTGAAGTAGAAACTTACGATTTACCAGAAGTTTTCTTCCTTGCAAAACTTCCCTATGGAATCGGCAACTTAGCGACCTTCAAGAAAAGAGCCTATTCTTTTTAAAAAGGCTGGCAACGCACCTGCAATTCCCGTGGTGTTGCAGTTGATCATTGGCGGCGGTAGTCACTTACCATCAGATGAGTCGCATGATCGTTTGCCCCGCTCTTAGATATAAAAAATACTTGGTCTGTGCGGTATTCGAATCCACGGCTAATTAACACTGCAACTCAATGCTAAGCCACTTCGCCACGGCACCATATTAATCGTGTGGTGATGTTTTAAGGATTAAAGCGATAAAGAAATAAAGCGAAGCGAGAGAAGGAAGACCCCGAAACCCCTCGTATAAACTGTGAACACCGAGTGGTTTTAGCCGGTAGCTGTCTGGCATAATTTTCTATTGCCTCCCGCAGCATGAGTTAGCCATGAGTATTCCGAGGTGAATGTAGATGAATGGTTCGCGACAGTAGTTGAATGACGGGTGCGAACACACGTCTTTTCGAATTTACAGTCTGCATCATTATTCAGTCGCTTATTATTATTATTATTATTATTGCAAAGAAAAAAAATTGGTGTCCAACCAACGACAACCAACAGTTGGTTACTCCAGTTGTACTTTAAACAAAGAAGGATACAGATGCGTTGTCAACTCTGAGGTAGTCCTCACAGTCAGTACGGAATAATATACCGTATACTGTAAATATACGGTATATTATTGTATTTTCGCACTGCTGTTCGGCGGCAGAAATAGGTAAGAGTGTGGCACATATCCAGATGTACTCCTACACACGCACACGCACTCCTACACACGCAGACTCCAGCCAATTATTTCCAAGTCAAACCATTGAACTAATATGTACTACGTACTAAAATAGACACCGCGTACAAAATCTATGCGGCAGTATGGGGCGCGTTGCAGAAGCACACAGAGTACCTTTTTATGGCACAGATTAATTAAGATTTGATTTCGCGGGTTAGGCGTCTCTTCTAGAACGTAGTACATATTAACCAAATGGGTCCAAAAATATTTTATAGAAACGTGTACAAATAGAAGCCGTAGTCGGGAGCGAATTCAAGCGCTAAACTACTGTCACTGTCGGATCGTCAATATTAATTAACAGAGATTTACTGACCGCTGTCTCCACGTCAATTACGTCGTTGAAGGAAATGACCCGTTCACCTCCATCCAATTAAGTAAAAGCCAAAAGAAACTACTTGATATACGAGTATACCCTATTATCCGATCTTCCGCTATCGTTACATAAAACATTTATTTATTGACTGCCTCGTTGTCTAGTGGTCGTAAACGCGATTGCAGATCATGAGGTCTGGGTTCGAATCCCGGCTCGATCCAAAAATCATTTATTGAGTTTTTCTGTTAAGAAATTTTCAGTAGCAGCCTGGAGTCAGGTAATTGGCGGTGTTTTATCCCCGTGTCCTCGGCAAGCACGTAAAGCCGTTGGTCCTGTGCCTGATCTCTCTCCGGTCGTGCCGGGTTACCGTCCCATCGGACTATGAGTATGAGGGAATAGAGAGTGCAGTTGTGTTTATTATACATACACTCGGTAACAGAAACAGAAACTTTTTTATTCAATATAGATTATAAATAATACTTATTGAAAGTCACTCTTTTGTTTAATTACCACTAATTCGAAAAATAACCTCTGTCCTGGGAAGAATCAGAAAGAAACCCAGCGGGACTTTTTTTTAACAGCTTACAATCATGTATGTTACACAATTAACAACACAACAAATTAGAAATAGCTTGGTAGCGATTATTACATTTTCATAAATTTATTGAGAGGCCAAAATTAATATATTAATTTCCATAAGTTTTTGTCGCAGCGACCTTTAGGCTTTAAATCATAAATTGCTCTTATGGCCCTCTTATCGAGTACTATAATCCACTCCTGCGCAGATGGAAGACATTACGACATTTATTATAAGTAATTGTTTTAACAGTAGCTGGACTGTAAATACTGAATGTATTTTTTTCCCCAAAAACAATGTGCATTGTCTCGTAAACATGCAAAAATAATAAACATAAGTAAAATTATAATATGTAATGGGGTCCAAGTGCGGTGAAGTTCATAAAGAAACTGTATCCACGACTGGTCGCCGCTGCTGGTGATAAGAGGGCTGGTTATTTTCTCGCTAAGGCGAAGTGCTAAGTGAAACCTTTTAGAGAGGAAACGCAACCAGCGTTCTTGGCGATATCTCACGGGGAGTAGGGCTATATGATAATTTAAATTTTTAGTTTTAGTTTTTGATTTAACATCTTTCCTTTCGTTTTACGCTTTCGCTTCTCGGTTTAAGAAGCAAAGATAATTATCTATAGTCTAATATTTACTTACCAGGCAGCTTTGCTGGCTGCTTCTTGTGTTCATCCTCGCTGTCCTCTTCAGATGAGCTGGGGTCGATCATTGTGAAGGTTCTGAAACAAAAGAACAATGTCTCAGAAATATATATTTTAATATAGTTACAGCATATATACGTCCCACTGCTGGGCACAGGCCTTCCCCTCACTTTTGAGAGTGTTTTAGGGCAAGCTAATGTCCGCCGCGCTGCCCCATTGCGTGTTGGCGAACTTAACATGTGTTCGAATTTTTTTTCCTTTTTTCTGCAGGTTTTCCTAACGATGTTTTCCTTCACCGCTGACTACGTGGTAAATCAGCACTTAAAATTACAATTAACAATTTTATTGGTGCCGGCGGGGATCGTACTCGGGTTGCTCGCGTACTGTGAAATTTACAGCGAGCGCTAACCATCTAAGCTACCACGGCTTTAACCTTATATTTATAAAATATCCTAAGAGAATTCGGCGTGAAATTCGCTACCACGGCTAGATGTTTTAATATATTTAACTAGAATTAAAGAGTAAAATCATCAGCAATAGAACCAAAGTAACCGGTCGGCCATGTAGCTTAAAGAACTGATTACTGATTGGGATAAAAGATTTTCGAGTGGTAGCCACGTACTGGCAATCAGAGTGTAGGGCGTAGGCTCAGTAGATATAGTGACGACCGGGCAAGAGATGCTCTAAAAGTTGTTTTTTGTTTATAGGATAAGGGTAACATGGGGGCGGGTTTGCTTCTCGCCGGATGATCCCAGCGCTGTTGCTGACTCTGTCACTGATGTAGTGCTACAGGGAATGGAACTATTTATTCCATCATCTGTGGTACCCATCGGAGGCAGATCTCAGCCTTGGTTTGGTCGCTCCTGTAAGACTGCATTACGCAGTAAGCAGGAGTGTTATCAAGCCTGGGCTGCGGCTTCGGTGACTCGGGATGTAAACACCAGCACACTCAAAAAGAAGTATAACTTCGCCTCCAGGTCCTTCAAAAGAGTTATTGCCAAGGCAAAGTCAGAGCACATAGGCAGAATTGGCGAGAAACTAGTTCGCCTTCCTTCGGGAACCCGTGCATTCTGGTCTCTCGCCAAGGCTGTCCAAGGGAATTTCTGTAAGCCATCACTACCATCTCTGCACAGGGAGGACGACTCACTGGCCCACGACGCAAAAGAGAAGGCCGACCTTTTAGGCTCCCTTTTTGCGTCCAACTCGACTGTTGATGACGGGGGGAACACACCGCCGACCATCCCGCGGTGTGAGTGCTCCATGACGGATGTGCGATTCTCACAGCGCTCGGTTCGCAGAGCACTCCTCTCCCTTGACATCCACAAGTCGAGTGGGCCTGACGGAATCCCCCCAATTGTGCTGAGGACGTGTGCTCCGGAGTTGGCACCGGTTCTAACGCGTCTTTTCCGGTACTCCTACTCCCTAGGCGTAGTCCCGAAATCATGGAAGACAGCTTTTGTCCACCCGATCCCTAAAAAAGGCGACCGCTCAGATCCGTCCAACTACAGGCCTATCGCCATCACCCCCTTGTTCTCCAAAATAATGGAATCCGTTGTAAACTGCCACCTCATGCAGTACCTTGAGGATCACCAGCTGATTAGTGACCGCCAGTACGGTTTTCGTCGGGGTCGATCAGCTGGTGATCTTCTGGTCTACTTAACTCATAGATGGGCGTTGGCAGTAGAGTCCAAGGGGGAGGCATTGGCCGTTAGTTTGGACATTGCGAAGGCCTTCGATCGGGTTTGGCACAAAGCGCTTCTTTCGAAGCTTCCTTCCTATGGGCTTCCCGAGAAATTATGCAATTGGATCACTAGCTTTCTTGCAGATCGGAGCATCAAGGTTGTAGACGGTGCAAGCTCCGACTACAAGCCTATTAACGCTGGTGTTCCACAAGGCTGCGTGCTATCACCAACGCTGTTTCTTCTGCATATCAATGATATGTTGCAAGCTGGTAGCATTCATTGCTATGCAGATGACAGCACTGGTGATGCTCTATACACCGGCCGTGCCAATATTTCTCGGGAAAACGTCACCGAGTACCGGAACAAACTTGTGTCTGAAGTCGAGTCTTTGCTGGACAAAGTCTCGAATTGGGGGCGACTAAATCTTGTCCAGTTTAATCCTCAGAAGACACAAGTTTGCGCGTTTACCGCTAAAAAGAACCCCTTTGTCGTATCTCCTCAGTTTCATGGTGCTCCCCTTGTTGCCTCAGCCAGTATCGGAATCCTCGGCGTCGACATATCGAGTAGCGTGCAGTTTCGTGGTCACTTGGAAGAGAAGGCCAAATTGGCCTCTAAAAAGCTTGGCGTGCTCAGCAGAGCGGGACAGTATTTCATGCCGGCTCAACGCCTGCAACTTTACAAGGCGCAGGTTCGGCCTCACATGGAATACTGTTCCCATCTCTGGGCAGGGGCTCCCCAGTGCCAGCTTCTTCCACTTGACCGCATCCAGCACAGAGCGGCTCGAATCGTCGACGACCGAGTCCTTTCCGATCGGCTCGACTCATTGGCACTGCGAAGAGATGTTGCATCTCTTAGCATTTTCTTTCGCATTTACCATGGGGAGTGCTCTGAGGAATTGTTCGGATTAATCCCAGCCGCCAAATTTCACGAACGCACATCGCGGCAGAACTCCCGATACCATCCACACCATCTGGATGATTGGCGGTCCACCACTGTGCGATTTAGAAGATATTTTCTTCCTCGCACTACTTCCTTGTGGAATAGTTTACCACCAGCGATTTTTCCGGACCGATACGACTTAGGGACCTTCAAGAAAAGAGCCTACTCCTTTTTAAAAGGCCGGCAACGCATCTGCAATTCCCCTGGTGTTGCGGTTGTTCATGGGCGGCGGTAGTCACTTACCATCAGGTGAGCCGCATGCTCGTTTGCACCCTCTCCTATAAAAAAAAAATAACAAATGAGAACACGAGCTCGTTTGTCACTCTATCCTATAAAAAAAACACAGTCCACCTGATGGTAAGTGGTTGCTGTGGCCCATAGACATCTACATGTATCTTCGATTACGAATCAAAATGCAGATCCATTGTCATCCATGAAGACTAAGATGGAATGCCTCATTTCCAGTAAAAAGGGTCTCCAGTTTTCTACACTCACCATACGAAATACAGCAGCGTTAAGCTGCTAATTTACGCTGGTATTTTGTGAGAGCGTGGTCCTTCCACGATCAAGCCGACCCATTCGTGCTACCACCATAATATAGCTGCAGCATGTCTCTACCACGTATAAAACGTAATAATGTTTACAACGGTAGACGATATCATCATTATCATTACAGCCCTTCACAAGTCCACTGCTGAACATAGGCCTCCCCCAAGGAATGCCCCAAAGCACAGTCCTGAGCCACCTGCATCCATCGACTTCCTGCATATCTTACCAGTTCGTCACCCCATCTAGTGGGGGGATGCCCTACACTTCGCCTGCGGGTATGTTTAAGTATATTACAATATATAAATCCTACGTACTTTTAGCGAAACAAAATACTGTAATAAAAATCTTTGATTGTAAAAATAATAACCTTGGTCAAGTATGTATCCAATTTTGTTTTGGAAATATTTTGTATTTCTACGGCGAATGATATTTTTGCTGGCTACTGTCGCAGCTGTAAGCACACGGTACAGTAATCCACTCACGACGGCCGTAATGCGAGTGAGCTGTGAGGCAAAGTGTATTTAGTAAAAACAATTATTACAAGGCTGTTCAAAACACCCATAATTTCAGTATTTCTCAGCCGAAAAAAAATTAATTATGACTCAACAAAACAATATTAAACTGTCATTTACATTCCATGGCTTCCCACATGATAGATAAAGATATTGAGAAATAGATTGAGTTAAACAATTGGAATTTTCAAAAGTTATCGTGTTTACCCCTCCATGCGGACATGATAAATCTACACTATAATCCACTAAAACCAAGTTTTTTATGTAAAAATGGCAATTAATCGATATAAAAAAATAATAAGTTTAAAAATCATTTATCTTTTTGACAATGTGCTTTGTATATCATTTATATGTTCAATATGATTGTTAGATACGATTTCATGCGACAAAACGTTGGAATATTGATTTTTAGACGCTAGTAGAACATACCTACGCGCTTGGCATGCAATTGCCGTAATTTCCAATTCCACGCGAGTGAATTAACTATTATAAAATTAGTAAAATAGTAGTAACATAAAAACTAATAGCGAAATTGAAATATAAAATTAGAACACGAAAGTAACAACGCGTTTACATTACTTATTGTAATCATTGTCGAATTTTGATGAAAATAGAAATTTATTTTGAGCATTCGTCTGTAATTTTTAACAGTGTATACATTATTTCTACTAAGTAATTTGATCTTTGACATTGTTTTCGCCTAAAGTAGAAGAAAAGATTTTTTTTTTATGCAAACGAGTACATATTCTATCTGTTAGCAGGTGACGCTGTCGCCCATAGATAACTAACTATATCGATCCCCGATTTAGAATTAAAATTCGGAAGATGAGAATATTGATAGAAAAAAAAACACAATTTTAACGCCACAAGAAAACCAGGAGTATCAGATTATTTAGTAAAAAATAAATTAGCACTTAATGTTAAAAAAATATCAAATTGTATTTGGCAAATTTGAAGAGCTCTGATGAAACAACGTCTAATTAGGTATTGGTTTATCCGCCACATTTTTATTAATAATAATAATAAGCTGTATTAGATTTATCTCGTTGGTACTACAATAATCTGAATCTGAATGACAGGGTGAGAAATAGTGTGATAAGAGAAGAGTGTGGTTTGCAAGATGACGTTGTGACTAAGATTAAGAAAGGAATGCTTCGATGGTTTGGTCATGTAGAAAGAATGAACGAGGAAAGAGTGATAAAGCAAATTTATGTTGCAGAAGTGAACGGCAGAGTCGGGAAGGGACGTCTTAGACAAAGGTTTATCGACCAAATCGGCGATACATTGAAAATGGGCTAGATTACGAGTACCCTTAACCGGCGAGCGTGTATGCGTAGATATATGGATGTAAAGGAGGCGTGAGAGGTGTGTTAGGATCGCGCCAAA